CCGATACCGATACCAGTATCGGTATCGGCACCCCTAATTTATTTATTTATTTATTTATTTGGGGTTGAAATCTTTTTCTGTCTCACGATTCGATTCTGATTTTTGGGGCCACGATTTGATTCTAATTTGATTTTTCATTCAAACCTGATAACGTGAGCCCATCTGTCGTGTTCCCAAAATGCTCAAACTCAAATTTTGCAAACAAGTGAAGCTCATGTCAAACTCACTCATTCAGTAAAAACCAAAATGAGCCCAGATATTTGCATTCAGTGTAGACAGGGCCACCTGAATCTCTCTTTCCTCCAGTTTTGTAGTTCCCTCTTTGTTTTGGTGCTGTCTGTGCATGCATACGTTCCAGAACCAGCTGCGAGGTGACGYCAGGACTTCTCATGTAGTTACAAAATGAAAGCTGACAGCCATTGGTCTTGCKTTGTTTTTAAAAATCGATTTTGAGACATTTTAAATCAAATCAAAATCTTTGCAAATGAGAATTACAATTCTGATGTGAATCGATGTTTTTGGTGCAACCCCCCACCCCCCCAAAAAAAATTATTGTATATATTATTTATATAAAGTCACTTCTAGATACTTGTTTCTGCACCAGTTAGGAATATTTACATCCTACTCTCACAGCAACCATTTTTTGACAATCTATGTAGTAAGAGTGTAGTGGGTGTTATTTAGTATCTAACCATAATGAAGTATTTAGAGACAAAAACGTAAACAGTGGCTGTAGCAGGGCTATTCACACATCCGACCCGCGAGTGGCCAAAGTTCGGCCCGCCAATTGGTTCATTTATCTCTTAAACACAAACCCCAGAATTACTCTAAGTTCTTTTAGTTAAACATGGACATATTTGGTATCAACAGAAACGTCAGAATCTGGTAAAAACCACTTCGATGAATATCTAAGACAGTTAAAACTACAAGCAGTTGAAGATAAAACTATTAAAATGAAATTAAAAATGGTTGAAATTTTTTGAAACGTCAGCAATGTCAAAATTATATTTGTGTTAAATAGGAGGCCTGTGCTATGTTTAGTTTTTATTTTGTTTTATTATCACTACTTTTATTACATAGGGTTCTGTATGTTGTATTTATGATTAAATAAAAATTAAATAAAACTGTTTCAAAAGGTAACAGATCTTTGTAATACTTGGTTTATTCACATAATGATTTTATTTGCTGGATGTTCGGCCCTTTAGCTGTTGGCCTGCAGTAACTGTGGCCCCCGGAGCAATTTAATTGAATAGCCCTGGGCWATAGGAACAAACCTGCACAAGTTGAATGTCAAGGACCTTGTTGTTTTCACACTCCATTATTGTGTAGCTCCCAAATTTGGCTGAGTTCCCTAAAGAARAAAGACTTCATCAGTAAATGCAGGCAATATTATTTGCAAATTAAATTTGGTAAAATAATGACCTGGCGAGTCCACCCTCATATCTCCAGTAACGGCTATTTTCCCTTTACTCTTCATTTCTTCCAACACTTTGCCCTGATCCACAGTCCATTTGTGGTAAATGGCTGGTTCCAAGAGGTTACGTGCATGGCTCTTAAACGTAGTATTGTTGTGCACCTTGAGGTTTATGGTGTTGCAAATCTACACAAACATATTTGAAAAAATATATATTAGCAATAACGTTCAACATGTAATTTATGGTTATTCTGTGACAATGAAACATACCTTTTCAATTTTAGAAAATGATCCTCCGTTGAAATACACCGCTGCTGACAACTCCAGATTACCCTGCGGTAAATTGCCCCTCATTGGCTGGCTCTGCCACTTTCGAGTGAACGAACAATGAGGACAGTCCTGCTTGAAAGCAACAAAGGTTCCACATCGGCTCTGGTCCACTATACAGTGTCTCTTGCAGACAGGGCAGTTCTCAAACAGCTCTTTGAGGGCACTTTCAAATACAATGAATTTTGCATCTTCAAACTCGGATGGTGACTCCGTGTCCCTGTTCCAAAAAAATGCATTGGTTATGTTAAATACATAAAACAAACACATTTCTAATCACATCAAATTTAAAAAATAACCTTACATCTGGTCAGACGGGTGTGTGACAGTATCTTCTGGTTCATGGGTTGAATCCTGTGATCCAGTAACAGACATGTTGACATCATCTTCTTCCTCCTCGAATTCCAGGCGAGGTCGTTTTTTTGCAGATGTTGATAAAATCTGTGGTAAACACGGGTCTGTGCCTCTGCTTGTAAGCTCAACTGTAGCTTGTACACCTGTGCAAAAATACAATTGAAATGTGTGATAAAGGCAATAAATTTGCAGCAAACACTATATTTAAGAAATATTGAGATTTTATCAGCAGCTGCTGACATTTTCTTCCTAAATTGCTGTAACCACATTGTGCAATGCTGCTYTGAGCATTTGCATCTTGTTTCCTCCTGCTTTGTTATTTCTACGGATTTCAACAAACTGTTCTGATGTCAAGTAGTTAGCTACAGCCWCATCTGAGTTTTTAATTTCTGTCAACGCATTTTGAAGAGCCACTTAATTGAAAATAGTCAATCATCTGAGTTTTCTAGTGACCCCTTAAAAGAGGTAAGCTGACATAAAGAACATCATTTTACCTGCATTTGTTCCAAATTCCATTGTGATCTGAAAAGTCAAAGCATGTTTTTTTTTTTTTTGGTATAGCGCATGTTAGCAAACTGTGTTGATTAGGGTCAAAAAATGGTCAAAAAATGGATTTAATTGATCGTGGATCGATTTCATTTAAATTTGGGAAAATCGATTCACAGGGTATGAGATCAATTCTTTCCCATGGTGCCTTGTGCGTGTGTCTGAAACACTGTTCTATATTTTGTCACTCCTGGCTTGCCGTATGTTTACATCCGACTGACGTTCACAGCTAACATTAGCTTTCAATAAGTTGTCTGGATCAAAACAAAAGAAACTAAGGAATCACTAACGTTACCAGCCGACTCTGCTGAACTTAAAGACAACAGAGACCATGGGGACTTTTGTTTGCAGAGATTTGCGCTCCTACGTGGTAGAGGAAACGAAGTGGGGTTTGACGAGCAGCTCGTCAKGTGCTCGAACCAAACTACAGTATGTAAACATCTGACTGAAACTSTTCTCCACAAAATGTTTAAATGTGTGAAAGACGTCATTCTAACAAAATAATTTAGTTTTGTTATATTATGTTTTATACTTTAAAGCTGCAGTCTGTAACTTTTCTAAAAATATATTTTTAACATATTTGTCAGGTAATCTCAGAAAAATTTAAAGTCCTCTGGCTTCTCCCGGTGGTATTACAGTCAAACTAAAGCCAAGCTATAATCGAMGTGTCCCCGGAGTTGAACAGCCAATGAAAACCGAGTTTAGTTCGTGAACGAGCTTCTCTGTGGCAATGTTGGAGAAAGAAACTGCAACTTTTCAGGGAACAAACGTTCCAGTAAAACTTCCAATTCCTCGATTGGTGCCTGTTGTGAAACTCAACACAGGGAAACCGAAGAAGACCCAGGAAGAAATCTAAGTTGAAAAGAAAGAATTAGATCGAGCCTGGAAAAAAACGAAGGTGAATTCACAGGAGGAGGGAGCGAGCTATTTCTGCAGAGTTAGCCATTTCTGCTTGACAAGAAAGTATCTCTGCTTCATTCTTTTATTTTTAATAACGTTATTAAAAGTAAAAAGCATATAGAGCTGTAGCATGCTATAGTACTACACAACGAAGTTAGCGATGTGTAAAGAACCACCAGTGATATGTTATGATCAGTGGTGGGCAGCGCTAATTTAAATTTTAGTTCCGCAATTTTTTAAGCAATAGTCAACTTATTTAGGTCCGCAAGTTCAAAAGCACACATGCTCAATAAAATTTAGCAGAAGCTAATGTAAACTGAAACATATTTCCATTTACCAGAAAACATTCAGGTAAGAGAAAAGTCAATGCTTTGCTACCACCTAGAGATAAAAACATTTTCTTTAACAGTTGAAAACATATCGTCTCCAAATGCTAAGGTGATTCGTAGAAACAGACATTTAAATCATGGTTGTGAAACAAAAATTAGTTGTGTGTTTCTAATAATGCTATTTCTTGGCCATTTTCTTATGTTTTTGGCAGAATTTCAGTAAGAAAACATTTTCTTAAGTTTTTGGCAGAGCTTCAGTAAGAAAACATGCAGATATATTAATAATTTTAAACTGTTGTAAAATGTAAGCAATGCATTCTGGGTAGGCTACAGGACACAGAACAGGAACTTCATTCTTTTCAAAATAAGAGCGTGAATTTAAACGGTTCCGTGTTTCTTTCTTTACTAATAYTTATTTTTTATTGCTGCGGTGTTCCTCAGAGAGGATGTAGGACAATATGCACAGCTGAGTGTGGTTCTGCAGATCAGAACTGCAGTTAGATTGTCACCCAGTGAAGAAATTGTTAGCTTCCTGCCTTGCAAAGAATTGTGGGAGTGAAAACTGTCACCGAGAAGAGTCAGAAGTCAGAGTCAGCTCTGTGAACACTATGCAGACTGAGGGCTCGCTGTTTCCTCACGRTGGTGTGTCACTGTAAGTAGMGGCAGCTTTCCCCTAGAAAATCATGATGAAGTTGTGGTGACTTATTGGCTACAGAAAGTAATGAGGCTAGACAGCTTTTTAGCTTTGCTTACAACGAAATTTACGTTTGATCGTGAAACATTATTTGCGATTAGCGCTACTTGATTCTAAATTTAGAAAGCGCAAATCCGCACATCATTTTATGAAATTAGTAAATCCCCTAAAGCGCAAAAGAGAAATTTAGGTCTGCAATTAGCGGATTTGCGCTTTAGGGGACTTGTGCCCACCACTGGTTATGATATTATAACAGGTTATGATAAATGCCAACGTTAGCAGCTACCTCATTTAATTAACCTCAGTAAGCTACTGTTCCTATACCTACATTTAGTTATCTTGACTAATGCTGCGTTCACACCGAACGCGATTTCAGCTTCAAAATCGCATCCAACGCTGAAGTTTGAAGCTCGTGCACTTTGAGGT